AAAAAACTTGCACTTACTTTGGAAAGGCGATGATAATGTCATGTTCTCGAACACTTCTACCACTTCCAACAAACAATGGGCTTCCTTCAGAACGATAACCTAAATAACTCTCTATAGATCAAAGCATATAGTTATGTCTACATACCAGATCATGAATCGCAGCAGCTTGTAAGGCAAATTCAAGACGAAAACAAATTTCTTTCAAAGTGATTCCAGGTGATGTCACTACCGTCATCAAAACACTCTCAGCCATCCATCGTACAGTTGCTGGACATATCTCACCTTAAAAATCACTTCTACTTTTTTCTAAAGTGAATCGAAGGCCTAGCTCCGGAAAAATTGAAAAATTTTCTTTACCACTAAAATTTTTGAAGAACAAAATCGTTGAAATACAACTATAACCTGATGGCATTGTCCACGGACGTGGAGTGACTAGTCTTCCTGAAACATTCAAACACCATGCAGTAGAATATTCAGCCACTATCCAACGATGCTCATCCACTCCCACACACATTATCTGAAGATAATGCGAATTACATAATCTAGATGATCAACGCCAAAATTTGTAGTTTCACCTGACAAGCGTTCATCAAGTCTTTCAAAGTCTTCCTGAGCGATTCAGCAGTTAGATCGGTAGCTTTCTGCAAGATTTCTTTGAATGAAGAGCCACGACAAGCTGCTAGATGGCAGACCTTCAGATCGCCCATCGTCGCTCCAAAAGCTCCAGAAGCAGAAATCGGCTTGTAGACAGCTCGCAAAATTTTCCGTTCAGATACAGGAATATCCAAGAGGTACTCTTCAAAAGGCAACGGTGGGTGTTTATCAGCAGGTTGGGACCTATAAGCGCAAATTCAGACAGCCGCAGAGGAGCAGGATGCCCAAAAGTGTCAGTACCAGTCGATTAATGCCAGGAGCGACTGCCACGTAGGAAGGATGGGAAGTTCAGACGTCATTCCTCCGTATACATGGATCTGTTCCAAATGAAGATCGGTATTCTCCAGATATCTAATCTGCTTGATAGATTGAGGCCCTGTCCCTTGATCTAGTGCCGCTTGCTCGAACATGTGGAAGACATCTTCGTCCACCGAAACTTCCAGATAACCCTTAAAAAATAGGGGAAGTGAAAAGTTACTTGTAGTCAAGGTTAGATGAAAAAAAAACAGAAAAA